CCCCAAAACCCCAAAACCCCAAAACCCCAAAACCCCAAAACCCCAGAAGGTAGGCTCCTTATGGAAAGTTATTAATACATCTTAGAAATCGAGGATTAGGTTCTCTTTTTCTTGGCTATTATTTAAACTACTCTCTTCTTGGTCAATTAAGTTGAATTTGGAGCCATTTTTGAAATTTCATCATGTCTGCATTAGGAAGTCTTGACTCCCTCTCTTCTGGCCTCTTGTCTGGCCATGCGACAAAAGCCCACTGACATTAGTAGTCTTGTTGAGGCTTGATTTTGTGTAAATTTTATTTTGAGAAGATAAGCTCAATATTGAGTTTAGGCCTCACCCATCGTCTCCCTTCTGGCTTGAACCATGTTCTAGGTCATGTATCTTCTCAATCATTCCGATTTTATCATCTATCAGAGAATCTTTTGAGGGCAAAATGTTCTTTAAGGAATACTTGTACAGAGAACTCTTATGTTTTTGGAAAATCTCATGGATTTTGAGGAAGGATTTTATGTAATACATAGTCTTCTCTGAGCACTCCTTGGAGTCTTTCAGGATACTCTGCTTTTCCTTCTCAAGCTTCTCTTTTGAATTAATTAGCTCTGTAATCTTCTTTTTGTATATAGCAGTTGCATAGTCTCCGAAAAGGTTTCGGATCAGCTCTTTTTGATTCTCAGAGAAGAAGGTATGGTCTACATTTTTGTAGAGCAGCATGACTGAGAGCTTCTCTAGCAATATTTTAGCATCCTCTTGACTGCCTCCAATCTTGACAGAAGCTTCAAATGAGCTAACCAGATCTCTGAGTTCGTCAATTTCAACTTCCAAGCTTCTGATCTTTTTCTGGTAATCTGATTGGTCCATAGGAGGATTTTTCTTCATAGAGTCACATTGTGATACCAAATCTTGGACTCTTTCGTTTAAAATATGATTTTCATCCAAGATATTCCTGTTCTTAAGCTCAATTTCCTGAAGCATGGTTTCGTATTTCCTTCATTTGTTCATGAAATCGTCCTTTTCTTGGGAAAGTTTCTTTATTTCAGCTGTTTTCTTATCATTTCTGTAATATTTGACATGCCTCAGTTCTTTCTCTCTATTTGAGATCAATTTCCATTTTGGCTCATTTCTGCTCGAGATGTTCTATTTTCTCTCTGAGGTACTGGCTTTCATCAGTGAATTGGCCCACAGAGCGGAGGCATGAGATGTTTGGCGAGTTCGCGGCTGATTTTCTTTTCTTAGTATGGCTCTTGGGTTTGGAAGCTTTTTCAATGGCTTGAAGACTAGCCTCAAACGCTTGGATCTGGCTCTGGATTCCATCGATGTCCATACTTAGGTTCTTGAGGTTAACGATGTGAGGAGCTATAGACTCGTCTTCGAGAAGAGATATCTGATGCGACCTCTCACTCTTGATGGTTGTGAGAGTGTTAAGGAACTCAATAACAACAAAATAGTTCTTCATTCACTCTTGTAGGAGTTCCTTGCTGGTTTTATAATTCTGCTGAATTTCTTGCAGATTCAGAATTGATTTTTGAGAGGCTTCATTGTCTAAATTGACCACTCTCATATCAACTACTGGTTCTTCCTTTTTGTTACTAAAACAGAAGGAGGAAGGAGACTTCCTGCCTGTAGCTAGGAAGCTAGATTTGTTATCCCCAACCATAGTATAATCTTTATTACGGATTAGCGAGGATCGCTTGTGCTTACTGGTTTTCTTCTTGCTGCTCTTCCTCTTCTTCTCATTAGTTGAGTATTTCTCCGAAGTACCCTCATTCCTATTTGGCGAAAATGCGATGGAATTTTGGGATCTAAACTCAGTTTCTTTACTACTATCAAACTTTGACAAGAATTGACTGGAAGTCTGATTCGGAGCAAACTTGCGTGTAGACATCTGATAAAGATGACTCAGCCTTGGCTGAGTAGACATCATCATATTCGCAGCATTTGACATTGTAGCATTCACACATCCAAGACTTATAGATGATTTGCTGTTTGGCCACTCTATGGAAAGTTTAGGAGATTGGTCAGGAAGCATAATAACTCACCATGTCCTCTTGAATCATCTCCGTCCTGTGGGACACGTGATTTCTGAGACTTTCTTGTGACGCTTCCTGCGTTTTTAAGGTATTCTCTTCCCACTTTGCCTTCTAGCCTTGCTAGTTTCTAAAGAGGAATGAGAAGCGCATACAAATGATAATTGATAGAAGGGCTAATCTTACTTTTCTCAATTTGTTTATTTAGTATGAGCTTCAGTGTAGGAATACTTCCTGGTCAGCCTTGGATTTAAGTAAGGATTTTCGCTTTGAGAGGATATCTGCTTCTTTGGAGTCTCTTTTGAGATCTTCTCCACTTTCTCAGAATCTTCTGGGTATGCAAACTTGGACATTTTTAAAACTAACGATTAAAATATATTTTATTTTGGCAATAAACCCTATATTATCTGGGGTTTTGGGGTTTTGGGGTTTTGGGGTTTTGGGGTTTTGGGG